TATCTCTTTAAGAATTTGCCACAGCCATTTGAGGTACCTTGGTTCAAAAATTGTTGCCCTAAGATGCACCATTTTGCCCATTTGAAGGTTACAGACATGAGAGTTTTAGTAGGATATAGAGTGTAAAAGACTTCTGCAGAGAGGGACTTGAGCCACTGTCATTACCCCAAATTTCATACCTCTTGTTTGTGTGAAAATCTCTACCAGCGTCTGAGCTCCTTCTTCTATCTGATGCTCAATGCTTTTTTTCCCCAGGCCCAGCTTCTGCAAAGCAGTGATGCCGATGTGTCGCTGCTGTTTCCAGGTGTGGCCATTTGAAAGAACAATTCCTGAGGGCATCAGGAGATAGTGATAAATTATTTCAGATAACATTCATGTTAAAATACAGTTAGGTCTAGTTTGTGCTGAAAAATATCTCTGGATTTCAGGTGGGAATACCAAACCCTTGTGACACATTGCAATTTTGTAAGATTCTGGCCATGTGATTATTTTTTTAAAATATGTATTCATTTTGGGAGTCATATGAACACTGGGAGACAAATGTGGTATGGTGTCCACAGGTGCAGTACTTGCCAACCTCTATCTTATATGATGGAGACCAAAAGCTTCTGAGACAATGCAATCGTTCATGTACAAGAACATACGTCACAGGCATCATATGCATTTTATATTTTTCATTTTCTTGTGTGGCAGAATGCCCTATACTCTTGTTGACCTGCCCAGAGCAGCCGAAGGTCCTACTTGCAGTGCTGCCACTAAGATCCATTTGGTTGGCAGGCACAAGAGGCAGGATCTTCTCAGTGGCGGCAGATTCCCTGAGCGACTCCCTCCCACAAGATTGAAACTAACCAGCAAAACAGGCAAATGGCTTTTTTACTCACCAAGTTTAATCAAGTTACTATAGCATTTATCTGCCAATGATTAAATACAATATTTTAAATTGGTTTTATGGGCCTGAGTGCAATTTACTTTAAACCTAACCAAGAAATGGAGTTGCACTCATAGTGAATAAGAGAGTGGGAAAGGCAGTAATGGGGTACAAC